TATCTGATTTCTTTTTACTTCCTACCTTGGAAAAACAAGTAAAGAAAAGTAATGCCAATCAGAACCTTACCAAATATACAAAAATAAAATCTATATGATATATGGAAAATGATTCAAGTCTAATCTGGCTATGCCTTATTAATCTGTTGGATCCAGGGTGCCTGCGCATGGCCCAAAATCCAAGTATTAGGTTTACTTGGATTCCAGCTCACTCTCAGGTATGTGGCTTGTAGGCCTGGACCATACAAACACTTGTGTGCTGGATCAACACACCTTGCATCCCCTTTGAAATGTTATTTTCTCTTTCTACGTAAGCATTTGCTGTTTTTTTTGCCATTTGCCATGTTATTGTGGATGGATGGATTGTGTCTACCACTTAAACTGGTCTATATCTCTTAATGGAGCGATTGTAGTGGGTATACTGGTATGGCAGGTTGCTGGAGATAAGTGGAAGCCACCGGCTCCCTGACGGCAAAGGACTGGGCAGCCCATGTGTTGGTGCTCTTGGAGGATCAGGGGTTGCTGATTTTGACCCAGATTCTGAAGCATAAATACTTTCAATTTTTGCCAGTGATCTGGGAACGAGGGGAACCTGCAGTCCAATGAGAGAGCCATGAGGTGTCCATGTCATCCAATCAGGTCTCAGCATGGAGTCATTGAGAAGCAGCTGATGGTGAGTAGGCAAAGACAAGGCTGCAGACCTGGTGTGACCCACTCTGGGAAGTATATTCCACTCTAGATTGCTGGGTCATGATGCTACTATATGCCATATGAAGATGGTAATAGACTGTTTTCCTTACACAGATTTGTGGGGAAGTGGTCTATAACTCTACAATAGCAACAACATAAAGTAACAAAATATTTTGTTGTCTTCTTTTTCTGTAATAACATCCTACTCTGCTGGTCACAGTGGGCAGAAATAGGTTCATGAGCTGGAGCCTTTTTCAAATCTGTTGTAGGACATAGGTGGTTCCCCAGACTTTTTCCACTTCATTGTCTCCAGCCTTCCAGTAGCAATGCTTTTGAAAGTCGCTGACTCAACAAAAGTGGCCTTAATGTTGTTTAAGATATGTATCATGATGGGGAGACGGTGGGCTATACCCTAAGACAGTGGCACAATCCGGGTTGGTAAGGATTCTTGGTGTCCTTTTAAGACACTGACATACATTGGAAGTGTTCTTGTCATGTCCCCCTATTCATAGGGGAAATATGTATGTTCATAAAGGTAAAAAAATGGAAGAAAAACATTGTAGATTAAAGATGCAAGAATATACAAAGAAAATGAAAATTACGTAATGATATTTGAGATGTGCTCTCATATTCAGAGACAATTGGGACACTTTAGACAAAGAACTGGACTAGCATCTCACGCCCTTCAGCCAATCACTTCAAGCTAAGTCTCATGCCACAATCAATGGTAATTGGCTGATAGCCGCGAGATGCTGGTCTGAATCTCTGTCTAAGGTGTGCCAAGTGTCTCTGAATATGAGTGATGGTCCTCCCAAAAGACTGAGCTGTGAGTTGACCAGAATGGATGGTTTGTATGTGCATGCTGTCCCACTGTGAGTCTAGTTTATTAATTGTGCAAATACTCAGTCACCAAGAGAAATGTTTTATTATATTTTGTAATAGCAATCAGTATTGTTAATAGCATTACAATAATGATAATGTCAGTAATGATAATAGCACCATCAATATCAATAGCATTTGAAAAAATATAATTTTTCATAAAGACCTGAGGAAAGTGGAATTCAGGTGAGGTCAAGCAAGCCCGCTAATAGATGTATAATGTCCATTGTACTTTTCTGTAGATGCTCCACAAGACCTCAACAACTAAGGAGTCCAGTAGTAGGTTTTATTGACCATGCTTAATTCCCCAGATTCTGTTGTTTTTTTCTAGTGTTATTAATATCAATAATTTTATTATTATTATTATTGATATCATGATTATTACAGTCTTATTACAACACTAATAACAATATGAAAAGTAAAATAATTTGATCAGAACCTACTGTTGCAATATTACTGTAGGGTTAGAAATGAGTTAGAAAAGTAGGATATGTGACTGCATTTATGCATTTCCAAGCTGTTGTTCATCTTCGGAAATATTACTGATAACTAAACAATGTGAATGGGATGCGTAGCCAGACAGAAAATGGGAAAGGTTCATATCCTAGATATTGAATTGTTTCACATGCAGCACTTGACTATTTTCTCTGATGCAGTTGCATCATCATTTACAAACAGTTGTATGGGTTTCCATCTTCATATCTATGGAAAGACTGAATAGCAACAATTTTTTTTTTTTTTTTTTTTTTTTTTTTAGAAAATCAATATGCTTAGTTTTTAAGTTTATTTGGCAACTCAACTGTGGTTTACCTGATGGTAGATAAAAGCTGCTCCAAAATTACTATATTTTGGCATACTAATCTAGATAGTACCATTGAATACTTTTTGATGTAAAAATATTTCATGAAGCACAGCCGAGAATATTATTGTACTTTGTGTTTTCATTATTGATATCCAAGAATCCTATTCATCATCTGTTGAGGATGTATTTTCATCAAGGAACAGTGGCCTAGAAATCGGTTGTATCAACATGACTTAACACTCCTTTTATTGGATTCATTACTTCCGCAGTCATTCACTTTTTAAGAACTGATGAAAGTTGAGTGACTTTTGTTATTTCTTTTCTTTTTTTCTTTTCTCATTTTCAAGTTGTTCTATCAACATTAGTTGCATAGTATTCATAAATATGTATTTCACTCGCATTTATTAATTCAGTCTTCATCGATAACTGGGACTAAAATGATGTAGTAATAAGATACACATTGGGCATCTTCAACAAGCTGTAACACCTAGGTTTCTTATCAATGTCCCAGAATTTTGTGTTCATTCAGTTCCATTTTCATTTGATTTATTGCAGAAAGTGTACATGTTATTACAAACATACTGTCCAATATGTATGTAATCCAATATATAAATATGAACATATCAGAAATGTGCCATCTCATACTGATCATTTCATAGCTTATCAAAGGATAGCAAAACAATGAATTATTATTAAGGTCTTTATTTTTCCATAAATGTCCACTATGAATGCAACACATTTACAGCTAAAGCCTTCCTTGTACAAATCCTGCTGTGAAGTATATAAAAAAAAAAAAAAAAAAATAGATGCAGTTCAGCATATACCACAAGCTAAAAAGAATTTACCTAAAGCTTACAGGTAGATAAGGACTTAGCTCCACTAGATTATAGTACATTAATAAGTCTTTGTGTGTACAGCTGTATAATAAAATATACAGTAAAAGTAATGCATATATGCAATCAAAAATACAAATCTAATTCTTCACTCTACAGCTTTCACAACTGACATTGCTTCCAATATCCAAACAGTCACTCACATTCACACAACCTAGACAAGAACTGGACAAAAGGTATTTATATTCTATAGAGACGAAAGGTATTTATTCTATAGAGTTCAGATCTAACTCAAATTTAGATGATAAAAATAACCCTTTTCCCTGGCATTACTAAATGTTCAGGAATGTTAACAGATTAGTTTCATATCTTATAATAGCAGAAAAATATAGTAAATGTACATTTCTGAAACTTCAAACACTTACAAAACTTTGGATGGAATGTCTATCACTATTACATTAAAAAAGGTACAGTATGTATCAACTACCTGTGGACGGAATATACATACATGTGATTTCACACATTTGAGCTAAAAATACAAAAAAAAAAAAAAAAAAAAAAAAAAAAAAAAAAATCTGAAAATGATCTTTCAGTTTCAACAGAAAATGAAAAAAAAATTAGTTACACTCGATAAATTCTGAATAACATTTTCCAGTTGAAAAATACCACACTGTAAATAACACAGTAAACTGTGAATTTGTACATCATTGCAAATACGTAGTTTACCCGAAAACATGGGATACCCGAGTTTCTGGATAGAATGTTTCACCTCAAAAGTAAATTACAATATGATTATCCTTTTACTTCTCAACATGAAATACATTTAACACAGCAAATGTTTGTGACACAGTGGTCTTTGGACGGCACTTCTGCAACTCGAGTTTCTGCAACACAACGACTTTTGGACAAAACTTTTGCAAAGTTCTAGTTACTCAAGTTAAACCTTGTGAAAGTTAACAAAGCATATACTGATTAAGAGAAATAACCAAGTAATTTTGATTACTCAGTCAATTCAACAGTTTTTACTTTGCAATAACTCAATAACATGTGCATTTGGCACTTATCAACTGCACTTTGAAATACCATAGCATACACAATCCTTTAAAAATGTAAATGAAGAGCACAGTAGGATCTCCCTTTTTTTCAATATATGGACAATTCAAAAACCCTCTATTTTAACAATAAGATAAAAACAAAACTGACAATACAATCAGAAAAAAAGTAATGAATAAACAAGAACAAAAAAACTTTCTCAAGATATCTGTCAGCCAAATAATGGCAACCAGACAGGGTGTCTCATAAAAGTGTTCTATTAACATTGCTCATTATCAAAACCAAAAAAGTACTTGGTTGAAACTTTACTTATAAACATAAAAATTAAAGAATATACAACATTCTAACTTAATTGATTTCTTTATATCTAAAATATTTTAAGCATGTCCAATGTAATTTCATTTCACTATCAATGTAATTTCAATTCATGACCAATGTAATTTCATGAAATGACATTACTCTCACTGAACAAGTTAAGCAAACATATTAGTACGCCTGTATAAAAATAAAATTTGTTGTTCACTTGCTTCATAGTATACACATATACTTCTGTGAATAGTCCCTATATGTCCTACAAGTAAATATAGACTTGATTTCAATCAAAACTTTATATGAAAAGAAAAATGGGCTACATTTTCATTTGGTTTGTATTTCCAATATCTGGAATAACAAGCTTAAAATCACAGACCTTAAAATTCTGTGTTACTGATAAAACCAATGATAAAAAATTTACATATAAATAA